TCCTGGACCTGGTGGCTTAAGCTCACGCTGGGTACATGTGTGTGCATACCCAACATTCCAAGAGGAGAATGGAGGAGAAGGGATTGTGGCATGGCCATCCCCCCCTGGAGGATGATTTCTTGCTTTCTGTCTCTTTGACGAACACACACGCCCTATAGCAAAAATCTCTTTAAAAGAATTGAATTCTGACAGGATGAAGAGATGTGGCAGAGGGTCTGTGGCATGGTCACTTCCATTGTGAGATGCTTTCTCTCTCTCTGTCTCTCTCTGGTAAGCACCCGCACCCTCTGGCAACCAAAAATTGAAATGAAATAAAATAAAATATAAAATAAATCCATCCATTCAGAGAATACTGGCAGGGTACCACTGATGGCCATAGAAATTCTAGGAACCCTCTTACAAGCCTTGAAAGCTGGACTTTTGAGGTACAAGAAGTGCCCAGATATATCCCTGGAATGTGGCCATCCTCCTACCCATTGCCATAGATTTTATTACACTTTTTTTTTAAATTAAAAAAATTATTTTTGCAGTAGGGCACATGCACTCACCAGAGAGGGCCAGAGAGAGAGAGAGACAGAGACAGAGAAAGAGAAAGTACCCTCTGGGGAGATGGCCACACCGTAATCCCTTCTCCTCCATTCTTTTCTCTGGATTTTTAAGGTGCCAGGCCCGGGATTCAAACCGTATAGCCGGCCATGTGGGATCTAGCACTTTAACCACCACACCACCAGCTAACCCAGCTTGATTAGCCTTTTGACAACCCCTGGCCAGGTCAATTCAACCATATACCACTTAGGACACCAAATAATGTCCTTTATGTTTTTCTTTTTTTTCTTTAAAAAAAAAATCTGCTGCAAGGCAGATGGACTTGCTGGAGAGAGACAGAGAGAAAGAAGAAAGTGAGAAAGCAACCCTCGGGGAGATGGTCATGATACAATCCCTTCTCCTCCATTCTCCTCTCAGGTTTTTGGGCACATGTGCACACCCATGTGCCTGGCATGTTTTTTAAGCCACTGGGTCTGGGACTCGAGCTATGCAGTCAACCATGTGGTTCTGGGATTTGAACTGTGCAGTCGACTGTGTGGGATCCAGCCGCCTTAACCACTACGCCACCGGCTGGGCCCATA